CACACCGGGCGCCATCAGCGTTGCGAAAACGCAACGACGGGCACACCAGACGGACATAAAGTATACACTGAACTGCCGTATATGCTAATTTGTTTTGACAAAACATCAATCAACTGTTGACAACTATTGCTTGAAAATGCGGAACCCCCATCCGTCATGCTCTATAACCCGCCTAAGAGCCTCAGTGAGGAAGCATAACTTCATGATTCGCGAACGGGGAGATGGCAACACGGTCATTATCAACCATTTACGTTGTCCATTGCTGTTCATTTAAATTAAAGTTGTGGTCGACACGTATCCAGGGTGATGTTTTCTTTTTGGAAGCTAGACAGAGCCATTACCCCCACCTATCAGACCCCACACTAATACAATTAAACGGAGGATTGGGAGTAAACCAGTGCCTCACGTATGCGCGTATATCCGCAATCATTGTTAACCACCCTCCTAGGAGTAAAGTTAAATTCCATTGCAGGTTAGTCGTACCCACTCTCAGCAAAAAGAAAAAAAAAGGACCGATCCGGCTCTAACAAATAACCCGCGTAAGGCGTAGCGCATCACAACAAATCGACTCCCAGTTTATCATGTTTACACCTAATCCAAAATTTTCATGGCCCCACTCTCAGCGACCTTCACGTGTAACCTCTTTCTCGAGACAATGCCAGGACAGAATGGTGATTCGACGTCAATCCGCCCTTTCCATCTTCAGGATAGTTGAATCCTCCTCCACGCCTCAACCCGGGCTGGACCGGCAACGTATATCGTAATCGGGCAGCTCACATAGGAGCGCGCCTGTAGCCGGGTGCAGTGAGTGCTTGGGAGGGGGGAAGGGGGTGGTTCTTGGGTGGCCTGCCCACTGGCTGGGCTCAGTCTCCAGTCTACGATTAACCGTGTCCGGTCGGCGGTCAGACAAATGTCTCCCCTAATTCCAATAATCCTGCTAGCTCTAAAAATGGTCTGATTAGATAAAAAGCCTATCAAAGCAAGAAAACAAGCGTATACTCTACATTAAGCAGCTTATGAATCTATGCGAGTTATGAATCCTAAAAATCATTATTTTCCCAGGTCCGCCCTCATTACCTCTGCCGAAGGGCTCAGCTACCCCCAGAGGGGGCCTATCCCACTATTTGCCGACCCTCAGTTATCTTTTCTAACGTAAATGTTGGTAGTCAGCAGATTCTATCCAGAGAATGGCGATGCCTATCGGTCGCCTGATACCAGAATACATCCCCCTTATTCATTATATATGCAAAATGTGCATATCTACTATTTCCAAAGTTAGCATCGCCGACCGTTTGATGCATGGGTCCCTTTCCTACCATGCGATTTTCAGATGCATGGGGACACATTGCTTAGTAACAGCCCGAGGCCGAAATCTGCGAGAGAATAAGAAAGGAGTGTTTGTGGCTGTTTGAGCCAGCAAATATGAAATGTGTCGCAACATTTTACGTGCGAACGCACCTTGCAATAAACATACCTATACACGTCCCTCGACCCTCATGGCATAGGCGGCGAAGTGCGGGGGGAGGGGGCACCGGGGCACCGTGCCCCCCTTGATTTTGCCATTTTAACATTATCCCTATAGGCGTTGCATGGAAATGGAAATGGAAAGAATGGGACCAAAAGTCGGCAGTGCCCCCCCCCCCGCCCTTAATTGAAGATGTTCCGCCGCTACAGCCTCATGGTTACAAAATGAGAGAGAGAGAAAGAAAGAGAGAGAGAGAGAGAGAGAGAGAGAGAGAGAGAGAGAGAGAGAGAGAGAGAGAGAGAGAGAGAGGGAGGGAGGGAGAGAGTTGGGGAACGAGGAGGAGAGGGAGGAAGATGGGGGAGAGAAAGAGAGAACCCACAGCGTATCACGAGTGAAGTCTATTGTTGATATTCATACTTCCGCTACCCTGCAAATGTGCCCATCGTTGCGTTTTCGCAACACCGCTGTCTTTCCGATGTGCCCTTCGTTGCGTTCCCGCAACGCGACCGTAGTCATATTTGAAAATAGTCACAAACCCTTTTTGTAGCATTATTTCTTAACAAAATGCATATCTACGCTATTGTAAGGACTCTGCAGAATATGTTTACACAATTTTCATTACGATATTGTTAAGCACTTAGCCTACTTATCTTGGTTTTCGTGACGTCATCACTCACAAAACCTTCGACTTCCCTCTGGGAGCTCTAGGCAGTAACTTACCGGCCGCACAGACTTGTAACTGCGTAGCATCATGCGCGCAACCATGCTACACACGCTGAAACTTGTCTCATCGGTTAGTCTCTTTTACACACTTCTCAAGCTTCGATCACGTCGACGCTTGCTTGCGTTGCGAAAACGCAACGAAGGGCGTAAATGGGTTAAGGCTACGTTGAGGCGGGCTACTATGTCGCTATAGGCTGCTGAATGTAGCACAGATGTGTCCGAGTCGCTGATGGTCAGTTTCGATGTGTTTGTATAATTGTGGTGATGAATATGTGATTGTGTGCGTGTGTCATACTTTCCATTTTGTTTTACCGTATGACGTGACTGAGCGAAAAGCCACCGCTTTGTGTGGACCTCATTCGAATACATCTGAATCTGAATCTGAATCTTTATCCGAAAATGACGATCGGAAAGCAAAAACTTGGAGTTTCAACGGAAGCCGACATCATTTTGCTTCAAAAATATCACACTTTCGTGCCTGAAATATGATAACTTTTTTTGCTATTAAGCATTTCCCTGAAGAAGTGAAAGGGGGCATCTTACCCCACAGGGTGGGAAAGACGCCCCCTGGCGTTGGGTAAGATGCCCCCTGGACTTTAAGTGACATAAATGGGCACGTGAATCGCCTGAACGAATCAGCACTCAGCAGTCCCTTCGAGCCTGCAGTAGGGGAGAGTGGGGCAAAGCGGCCACCCGGGGCAAAGCGGCCACCCATCGTTTTAGCCCTTCATAGCTGGCGTCAGTTCCAATTTATGGTTTCCAATTATACTTCTCTTCACGGTCGTTCGAATGAGCCAGACCGGGGTTTCAGGCCCATCACCATTGTTCTGTGAAACACGGAAAAGCATTTCTTGCCAGGTTACCAACTATGTTTACAATTTTTAAATGTTATGTTATTCCATAACCGTTTGGAATTTTTATAAGCGGTCTTGTCCATGCATTGCATGGTTATCGTACATGTATTCTACCAATTTTAATGTCTTTTACCCCACTAATAGCTAAGCTGGAATATTTTTGTCTCGGACGGTATGCGCGGGGCAAAGTGGCCGGGGCAAAGTGGCCACCCCCCAATTGGCCATAAGTTGCTTCCATCTGGATAAAAAACATTATTCATATTCAAATGTTTCGTCATGCATTCATCTTGGACACTTTTCAGTTGCATGAGTTACCAAATAATGCAATTAAATGTTTATTTTCATGAAAATTCTTTCTTTGTTTACCTACAGGTGGAAGATGATAAAGTAACCATCCATCCTCGCTTAATCTTGTCACTATCAAATACCCTAGTCGTACACGAGGCAACTATTTTGTTTCTCATATCGGGACTTGAGAAGACGCCGGTGGCCGCTTTGCCCCAGGGTATGGGGCAAAGTGGCCAATATGCATAGGTTTAAAGTTTTGTCAATATCTTTCATATGTGAACGCCTTTGGAAATAAAACGCAGTTGAAATAAAAGGCAACTTAATAGGGATCGCATTGGTATAGAAAGAATCTTTCCAAGTTTAAAAATCAAGCGTTGGCATCGTGAGAAGCGTTAGGGTGGCCGCTTTGCCCCACTCTCCCCTAGACACCAAACGTCATCGTAAGGGCCCTCAAAAGTAGTCGTAAGGGGCTTCAGAGGTCATCTTTAGGGCCATCATAGTCCAGCGCGGCCAATGGTGGCATTCGGAGACCACTGTGGGGCCCTTGTAGGTCTTCATGATGCTTGAGGGCCCTTGAGCCCATCGTGTGGACCCCAGATGCCAGCGCGGCCCGTGGAGCCAACGTGGGAGCCCTCAAAGGATGTCGTGAGGGGCCCACAGAGGCCGTCGTGAGGGCTCTCAGAGTCAGATGACGCCCAAAAAGTCGTTGTATGGGCCTAGAGACCGGCATGGGGAGCACCCGACCGTACTGGACTCTCAATAGTCCCAGATCGGCTTTTGTCTCTAACCACAAGTATGTAATAAATGATTTGACGGGATGCTTGAAGGACAGCCTACGAATTTAGGGGGGCGTCTTTCCCCATCAGGACAGGGGGAATCTTACCCCAAGGTACCGAAGTAACATTAAATCAGTACAATTTGTTAGCCATAAAACTACACCCTGAAATAAACTGTTTGGGACACAGTACACGCATATTAATGTATCACGACTATAGCAAGGGACGCAAAAATGATCTACCTCCTTTGATATTTACAATGTTTTGACACCAAAATATTTTTTGAAAGCAGCAAATAAAAAACATGCAATCACCAGCCAGCCGTTGCCCAACTGAGCTTCGCAAATTTTTGTGCAGTTAACAAGGCAGGCTTCCGCTTTACGCTAAGAACATTAATTTCCAGGTTCGATTCTTTGTTTCGCCGCTAGAGGGGGTGGGGCGTCTTTCCCACCCTGGGCATCTTACCCCACTATCCCCTACTGTACGATGTCATAAACATGCCTACTGTAAAATGGGTTTCAAAAGTCAAAAGTTGTGAAATTTGACTATAATGCCTATAACTCAGCCATTTAAGATATTGGACTGAAATTTTCTAGAGTAGTTCATCGGTAGGTGCATACTATCATATATATTATTTTTGTTTTCGAAAAGTCAAAAAGTTTTGAAAACTTTAAAGTAGGTATATTTTGTAATTGTTTCAAAATATTTTTATTAATTTTCAAATTTTTGGAAATTCGAGATAGCATTTTGATAGCCACGTGTATTCTCAGTCAACTCATGCAATAAAATTGGATCTAGCCTAAAAACTGAGCTTTTGAGAGCGATTACCGTAACTCAATATTTTGCATCAAAATCGGCCAGCATGACGTCACTCTGACGTCATTTCCGGCCAACCTATGGTATCTAGAAAGTTATAAATTGCGCACAAGGTGTCAAATTGATGCCGCGGAAGGTACTGCAAGTTTTGTATTGATACGTCAAGCGGTTTAGAAGATATTGCAGAAAAACAAGAAGGAGGCTCTGTAGAGCCCCCCAGTCATGCACGGGTTAAACATGACACACTGAATCAGAAAATTGCACTCGTAATCGTGACCCCTTCTTATGTCTCTGAGGTCATCAGTAGAAACCCCAAAATCTGCCTTCAAGTAGCCGATGCAGTTCGTATGCTAGCAGTTACCACCCTGCTATATACCATCCCTGCTCTCCGACAGAACTGGGTTGTGGCCTCTGTCTGTCCCCGGCCGGGCGGCGGCAGGTGTTAGCCCGTCCATTCAGTCGGTCCCTCCCGTCCCCATGTTGGATCGATATCACAGCGAGCTGGGGCCCGGAGCCGCCTAATCTAGCGACCGCGTGCCCACTCGGAACGACTGCAAAACGCATACTCCTTCGCCTGGGAAAAGTACAAGATGAAAATCACATTTTCATACTATACGACCCGTCGGAACTAATAATGACAGATCCAGTCCGACCCGTGACTTCAATGCTGCATTGACTCGCAGCCCGGGCGACTGGCGACTGCCCTGCCACCTATCGGTGACGCGCACAACCCTCGGGCGGCCGCCGGGCAGTCATTGATCGGCGGCGGCCGACCGTGCGGGTGCCGGCGGTACCGTCGCAGACGACGCACCGACGCCACGTCAAACGGTGAGTAACCATCGGTCACTACCTTACGGGGATTCGGCGGTGACCTGGCAGACGCTGCCTCCCCGTCCCATCCCAGCGTAATCCGGTGGTGTGGGTGACAGTGCTATGTCTGGTGATGTCCCGGTAGGTCAGTCGGTAGCGGTGGCAGTGCTCTACCCTGTTATTTTCTACATAAGTGTTGTGTCCTTTGTTGTTGCTCTGTCCTTTGATAGTGCTCAGTCATGTTTTAGTCCACTGTACGATGGTATTCTTCTCTGCGCTGTGATGTTATTTAACCGATGACATTGCTCTACCCTGTTATGCTGCTCTGTCCAACTGAGGCTCCAGTTGTCCAATAATACCACCTCAGATCGCAGTTGTTCTATGACACGGTTAGATCTCGTTGTCTGATGGGTGACAGCGCTGCTTTCCTGTGTGATTCCGGTTGCCCGGTGCGACCCCCGGTTGTCGTGTGCGATCCCTGGTTGCCCGGTGCTATCTCGGTTGCCCGGTATACAGTGCGATCCCTGGTTGTCCGGTGCGACCCCCGGTTGTCCGTTGTACAGTGGAATCCCGGTTGTGCGGAATACAGTGCCGCCGCTGCTCCTGTATCGATCGCCGGCCGGCTCAGGGGTGGACCCGCGCCGACCAACCGACCGATGGCGAACCAGCAGCCGGTCTATCGACCGCGCCGACTGCGCCATGCCGCACTGTGTCGCTCTGTGAACCTAAAAATCACGTTGTCTTGACATGTGACGTATCGGGAACATTTGGGTCATTTAAAACTGGATTACCTGATAGATCTTCCAAAGGGCTATTGACAGTCGTTTGAATACTGAAAACATGCTCAGTACAAGATAGCAAGGAGTAAAGCGTCTCCGTTTACGATATACCTAAATGCAGGGTAACTTTTAAAGGGGGAAAGGGGGAATCTCCCCCCTTCGAAAATTCCGCTCCCCCTTTCAAATTGTGCGTGAACGGCTAGGGAGGGAAGGGTGAATTTCCCCCATTCAGATTTATTTTTGAGCCCATTTTCAATCAATTCGCTACTCTGATTCTATAATCATCGTTGATCAGACTCTAGTCATCAATCAACGTTGCTGGCGCTTAGATAATTTTCAATTTGAGATTCCATCCAACCATTTTACGTTCAGTGCAGCGGGAACTCCAGATTTGACCCGATACCGATCGGATGGTCGGTGGGACCGTCTCTTGTCTTGTCTCTTCCGTCTCTTCGCAATCACTGACATATCGCTACAGGCGTCGGCGTAGAAACCGGCGGGGACGGGGGTCATGACCTCTCCGAACCAAGGGTCTTCCTTCGAACCAGGGTCCTTCAATCGGTCTTGGCCTAGCAAAAATAGTCACGTGTTAACCTCTCTCTATTTAGAAAGGCGCTAGGTACTTGATGTTTGGCCAGGGTAATAGGTTGATACTACTGATTGACATTTGCAAGGGCGCAGTCAAGTTAGGACCTCCCCCGCCCCTTACCGCCAAGGTAGGTACCTACGGATATTTTTTAGCTAATTTATTTTTTTAGCAACCTAACAATATAAAGTGGCCAGAATCCGGAGATAGAGTAGGATTTGGGGATAGGTAAGGCTCTGCAGGCGCCATCCTAACAAAAACCTAATGGCATTGGGTCCCCCTTTCAGATGCCCCTGGATCCGCCCTTGCCCAGAACTTTATTCCCCCTCTCGACTTTTCCTGTAAAAGTAACCCTGCCTAAATGAGTACTATGTAGGCAGGGTCCGAAAGTCTTACTTGGTATACGGGGTCTGAGTGATGCATGAATTAGAAACGTCACGAGCGATGCCCGCGGCGATGCCCAATTTTTGTTTGCCTCATAAGTAGCAAACAGGACAGGTCAGGTCGAAGTCAGGTCAAGGATAAAAACTACAAGTTTCCGCATTATTGGCTTTGGAGCACAGTTGGCAAAGAAGGGATTCAGACTGATAACCCAGAACGCGTTTAAGGCTACCAAGACACAATCCATTATATAAAATGGCATGTAAGGTAAAGGTCAGTGTCAAGTCAGATCAACAAAAATGACTATTTAATAGGATGTGTGGGACACATGTTTTATGGGTCATTTTACGCATTAAGTCCAATAGGCACACTCAATTAGTGATGTAAATCTTACTGAATTAAGTTCAGGTCGAGGTCAGGTCAAAGTCAGGTCAAGTGAGGTCAAATTTTGATTCAAGAACAGAAAGGTTAAAGCGATCAGTTACTCTTGTGTATTTATAAAATGCAGCAAAACTTTAACCCTCGTGGGCCCGGGAGGCGCTTTTCGCCCAATATCTATTCGCCCCCCCCCCCCTGGCGAATAGATATTGGCGATAGCTTCCCAACGATTAGGGGTAGGAAAGCAAAACGTTCAGTACCTTTTCCCCCATCAATTTGACATCTTCTGAAGTAATAAATGGACCTAGCCCTTTTCGACTTTTCTAGATCTCTGCACTGAAAACTTCGGCGTCACAAACGTGAACTGCAAATAGCTGCCAAAAATAGGTAGTTTTAGAGATAAAGACAAATTACGAGCACGGGTGTGAGCGTTTGAGCCAAGGAAAAATAGAAAATAGAAAAAGAGTTTTGGTGACCTGAGGTAGAGGTCAGACCAACGACCCCGAGCTGGGTTTTGGTTTTTCGCAAATAACTTTAATAAAAATGGTCCTGGAGCTACGGCAGTGGCACCAACGCATTCGTCTTGCCAAGCCGCGTCGAATGACATATATTTTGTTTGGAAAAGGTGTTGACCTCATATGACCTCGAATGACCTTTGGTTGACCTTGACATTTGAAAGGCCGTGCGTATATAATGAAATCATAGCCGCTGATCACGAATCTGGCATCCATTTAGCTCTAAGCGCTCATTTAGAGCCACAATATGTCAAAATTGTCCTAATTATTATGACTGACTTCAATCAGTGAAATAGCCTCTAACAAGGATACTCTTCCCTGACCTTGGCCAATTGGAGCAGCCAGGTATCGTAAGATGGACCGCACTAATAGCCTGATAATCCTCAAAACATTTCAAAACATCATGGAATTTAGTGTGTAAAATATACGAAAAAGTGCAAAGTTTGAGGTCAATTTATGCATGCCCTTGACCTTGACCTTGAATGTTGAACACAAAATCGGTATCTTCAGATTCTTTTCTTTCGTTTAACGCCCATTTCAGCCCTTTTTATGAATCCTGTCGTCCTCTAGAACACTTACTTTGAGATCACTACACATGTGCCAGTTCTTGCCTCTGACCTTGACCTCTGAGCTTGAGAATGAAGAGCACCTACAACTTCTGAGGGCAGAAGTTGTAGGTGCTTTAGAATCGTCTCGTAAAGTCCTTTCGTTTGGTACCGCTTTTGTTTCCGTAGCTCCCTTACTTACGGAGTTAGACGGGGGTGGCGAAAAAACGTCTCCCGGGCTGCGTTGGTTGGGATTACCCCGGGCCCGGCTGGGCTAAGGGAGGTAAGGTTATTTGATGTGACCTGGTGATCTGACCTTACAAAATGTGGGTCTGAAATTTCAATAACACGTGCAGAAAAAAATCATGAAAATGTGTGCCAAAAAAGCGGCGCAGAGCGCCGTCGATTCTAAGATGTTTCCGGGAAACTGCAAGTGGGTGTTCAGTGCCCCTGTCCCGCAGTTCCGGCCAGGCGTGGGTATAGAATATTTATTTTCTCCTTTCCACTATATAACCAATAGATTTTTTTCTAAAATATCCCGATGTCATTTATAATAGGTACTGAAGTGTTGCTCCCAGGCCGAATCCGACAGTCCGGTGACCCTTCCCTCTGCGGTTCGTTGCAGACACCACCATGACGTCGTCGGCGCCGCTGGCGTGCGCCGTGTGCTCGGTGAAGTTCGAGGACCTGGACTCTCTGCTGCAGCACATGGCCACCGGACACGCAGCGTCCAGCGCGCCTCCGCCGGCCGCCGCCACTGCCTCCGGTCAGCCGGCCAGCACACGCCAGATCGTGCTCAGCCGCACGGCCTTCCTGCGCCTGAAGCCGCTGCTGCAGCAGGGTGCCGGCCGCGGCGTGGTGACCATCGTGACGCAGCGCGGCAGGGGAGCGGCGACCGTGGCGCGGAGGCCGATCCGGCCGCGACCGCCGAAACCCGCCGCTTCCGACGGTGCTCTGGACGTGGAGGTCCTGGAGCCCTCGGAGCCGCCAGCGCAGTCCGAGCCGGCGGGTCAGCAGCCACCCATCGACCCGGACTGGATCGAGTGCTGCGTGTGCCGGCGCCGCTTCAAGCATAAGTACTCGCTGGTGGCGCACTGCCGGCAGCACATCATGTCCCGCCTCTGCGGAGTGTGCCATCGGCGGCTGCCCGACGGCCAGGCGCTGGTCGAGCACCTCGAGACGCACATGGAGAAAAACTCTAGCTTCAAGTGCGACCAGTGCGACAAGTCGTTTGTGCATGCCAAGAGCCTGTACGTGCACAAGCGCAACCACAGCGGAGTACGGCCGTACACGTGCCAGTACTGTCATAAGACGTTCCGTCACTGGCACAAGCACCGCGTGCACGTGCGGATCCACACGGGCGAGCGGCCGTACCGCTGTGATGTCTGTGGATGGGGCTTTCCTCGCAATGACGAGTGCAAGCGGCACATGCGCACGCACGTCGGCCAGAAGGCGTTCCACTGCGTCGACTGTGGAGTCGGCTGCGGCACTCAGATTGCGCTGATGCGTCACCAGGAGCTGCATCACGGGAAGAGGAGGCCGTCGATCGAGGGTGAGACTCAGGATTCAGCGGAGGCGACGGAGGAGAGGCGTGAAGAGCCAGAGCCGTCTGGAGCCGACGCGGACAAGGCAGCGGACAGCTTTGCGGACCTAGACGATAATGTTACAGTCAAGGTCGAGATGGATAATTTCTCGCTTGAAGAACACGGTGCTGATGCCAGCGTCGAAGCCAATGCTGAAGGTATTGACGCCAGCGAAGGAGCAGCTGATTATGATGCGGGTGCTGATGGTGGTGAAGACGACGACGATGTAGATGATGACCCTGACGACCCATCCTACCAGCCCGACTCTGACTCTGGAAGTGGCGTCTCAGGATATGGTGGGCGTCGTAACCGAGCTCCCGGGAGAAGCACCCAATCCGTACCCTCGCCGGCTGACGCTAGAGAGGAGGAGGAAGGTAGCATGGAGGAGACGGATCCCCTGGCGGTTCCCGGCGACGAGCAGCCGCAGAAGGACCCCATCGCTATCGGCGGACTAGGGCCCGAGCACCTCCCTGAGCCTGTCATCCAGCCCGTGATGGTCATCAAGGAGGAGCCCAGGGACTCGGACGAGGAGCCGACAGCGCGAGCGGCCAGTCCAGCCGCTGCCGCACCCTGGGACGCCGACTCCAGCTCTGAGCTTGATGAAGCAAACGTGAGCCTGCTAGAGCCCGAGGTCAATCTCACCGAACTTTTTATCGACATTGAGCGGATGCGTTCCACTATCCGTCGCAAGATCGCCGAGAATGCCCATAAGTTTGAGGACGCTGTGACACAAAAGGCGCGTTCCTATGTGCGCGACCGCGAGCCGAGCATCGCTAATATGCGCTCAATTTTGCGCGCAAAACTCGAAGAAGGCAAACGCATCCAGGCATTGCTCTCCTCACAAGAAACTGAAAAACGGCAGGTGAAGATCGAATCAGTGTCACCACGCAAAAAGATCAAAACTGAGCCGGAAGATGCTGACGACTCTGTTACATTGAACAGTGACAACATTGCTGGCACATCGACGGCAACTGATTTGAACAGCCCGGATTCGAAACTGGCCCTGGGACGGTCCCGGCGACTGCCACCGTCGGTGGGCCTGGGATTCCGGCGCCGCGGACGGCCCCCGAAGGAGTTTCTTCGGGGACGAAAGAGCGACCCAAGCGCAACGCCGCGCGTGCCGCGACGCCGCTGGATTCAGCACGAGCTCAACTTCTCGACAGAGGAAGACGGATTGGATGAGACGGCGCAGCTCAGTGGCGTCAGGATCTCCACGGGATTTGGAGAACTGTGAAAATCTGACGGAATTGAAGGACTCATGAGAAAGAAAGGGAAGGTGATCAGTCAAGTTTGAACGTTAAAAGGGTGAAAAAGAACATCAAAGAAGACGGAAATTATGCTGAGTAAAGCTTGAGGGCATACGTATTGATTTTGCTTTGGAAAGATAATCAGATGTCTTCTAGATGAGTAAAGGTCAGACTGTAAAATTTGTGCGGACAGACGCCAATGAAAATGTCAGCTAGGGGAAGGACAGAAATCGAATCCCAAAGAGAAGAACTCTGGGCTAAATGATTATGAGACAGAGAAGGCTCTGTACAGCCTAAGATGCGTACGAGCGTAACAGCAGACGGTTCTAGTCATTGGTGTTCCTGAACATTCCGTTTTCTAGTCATGAAACGCTGGGGTAACGTGTGCTGTGCATTTGTTGTGGTATTTTTATTTATCTTTCAATCTATTTATATATTTATTGCTAACTTATTTATTTGTGGTGAGGTACGTCAACCTTAGTTTTGGTGTACCTTATTGTGTGTATGTAATGTGTATCGTTGGCAGCATTTTGTTTGAGTCGAATGTTTTTGTATTGTGTGTTACCTTTCCATGATCGGTGATCACCTGCGCCCAAGAACGTCCTTCCCAGCAACAGCTGTGGTATGCCGAAGGTGCGGCATACTCATAGCTCAGCAGATGCGGTGTAGGTAAAAGCTAGTCAGGGTGAATATTCAAACATTCCAAATAGCTCCATCTGTCTCAATGATGAAAGCACCGTTTTACGCACGACGATGGTCTTTTGTATAAATATCTACATATTTATTTGATTATTTACTGATACTAACTCAACATTCCAGGCCAAAATATCCCCACGTTTATGTTGATACAAAGTGGTTGGTCTAATGATTGATAGTCTGCGATGTAGCATTCAATGCTTAGGTGAGGAACTATTGATGGAGTCGTCACCGTCGTGCATGTAATATAGGGAGAGGTTGCCAGTTCGTGTATAACTATAATGTTGTTGCCAGCATTTCAGTTGTCTTGGAAACTTCTGCGCTTTGAAAACTTCGTGCTCACTTTTTTGATACCGCGGCCATAAACGCGGCGCGCCTTCACTGGGCTCGGCCGGCCGGGGGGGGGGGGGGAGGGTGTCCCTACCTGGAGAGGGGATGGGACAGCGGGACGAATACGGCGCCTGTTACGGTTGTTGAGACGGTACCCGAACAGCCGTGCTATGTGGTTCGGCTTCGGCTGCCGACACAAGTGGGCTCCGGCGCAACGTAAGAGTCTCAATATCTGTGGTGAGCATCCCGTGTCTGTTGGTTAGAGTCCGCGCCGGTGCAATGGCCTGGCAGACGCGCTCACCAGCCGCCACGCTGAGGGTGTTAAGTCGGTGATGTGACCTTGCGAGGTCCGTCCGACATGACCTGGGAAGTTAGGTCAGTTCGGAGACGTGCCTGGTAGAGGTCCGAACAGCATCCGACTGGAAAGTTAGGTCAGTTCGGTGACGTAACCTGGTAGAGTTCGGTGAGTGACGTGGCCTGGCAGGGGTCCGGACGGAAATAACTTGGAATCTGGGTCGGTTCGGTGACATGACCTTGTCCGCTCGACATGACCTGGAAAGTTAGGTCAGTTCGTTCGGTGAGTGGCGTGGCCTGGCAGGGGCCCGGACGGCAATGACGTGGGAATTTGGGTCCGTTCGGTGATATGACCTTGCCCGTTCGCCATTAACTGGGAAGTAAGGTTAGTTCGGTGCCGTGCCCTGGCAGAGGCCCGGACGGTGACCGACCTGGGAAGTTAGGTCGGGTTCGGTGAGTGGCGTGACCTGACAGAGGTCCGGGCGGCAAGGGCCTGGAATGTTAGGTCAGTGCAGTGACGTGACCTAGCAGGGGTCCGCTCGACAATGCCCTGGGACGTTAGGTCAGGTCGATGGCGAGGCCTTCCCTGTGTAATCGTGTCCCTCGACGAGCCGCTTCGTCGTATAACGTACCAAGTAGCGGAATGTTCATTATCCCGTGAATTAGGTATGGCGTGTCACTGGATATACCGAGATGGTTAAACGTTGGCACGTGCTGATGGTGTTTGAACGATTTGGTTTATTGATGTTTCGCCCAAGTGACCGTAATGTTCATGCTTATTGGGCATTCTGCGCTTAGAGTATATGCTTTAGCATCTCCCATGCTAGTTATTATCACCATTAATTATAATATATAGGTATACATAGATGTGTCATTTGATGTGTCATTTGAAATATGTGCCATTTGCTTTTAGTCATATCGAAAGATTCTTGCGATTTCACGTTGAGCACAAGAATAAGATCCATCGATTCACGCCGCCCTGGTGTTTGCGAGGTGTCGATTGACACTGCCCTGGTTTTTGAAGGGTGTCGGTTCACACTGCCCTGGTGTTTGAAGGGTGTCGATTCACACTGCACTGGCGTTTGCGAAGGGTGTCGATTCACACTGCCCTGGTGTCTGAAGGGTGTCGATTCCCACTGCTCTGGTGTATGAAGGGTGTCGTTTCATACTGCCCGGGTGTTTAACCCGCGCACCGACGGGGGTCTGCGCCAACTTCGCACCGACGGGGGGGGGGGGCGGATGACCGCCCCCCTGAGATCTCGAGAACGAAGCAAGATAGTGACAAGCGGTAAACGGCATCGGATACGCACGGCCAAAATCTACAATTTTTACTAAGGTCATTTTCAGGTCAGGTGAAAGATGACGTCACAGGGGTCGAAAAAGTCAAAATGGCGGCGCTAGATATGGAGAGAGTTTAAAGTTTTTCTCGAATAATTTTCGAATTAGTCAAGATAGGAACAAACTAAGGGCATCATCGTGATCCTCTCATCAATCCGCATCGAATGATATATATGTTGACCTCGAAAGGTCAAGGTCAAAGGTTGACCTCAGGTCACGTGACCTCGAGGTCATCATGTATATCATTCGATGCGTCTTGACGAGCTGAACACAATGAGACCATCCACGCGTCTGTAGCTTGTTCCTGTACGGAGTTATTGGCCAAAACCCTTTGGTGACCTTTGATGACGTCACATGACCTCACAGCTGCCCAACAGCAAAACAGACCTCAAGGTAGTGAAGGTTGATCGTATATGAAGTCATGTATGGTATATGGGGCCATTCCGACCCGTTTTAGTGGTAAAAACAGGGAGTTGATTTTTCCCCCATTGACTTATAATGGGGAGGTCGCGAAATTGACCTGACTTTAGGTCACTGATATCAAAATTCCGAGATAAACAAATTGTAGCTACTAATGACCTAATAATATCCTGCGACTTTCAAAGGCCTCCGACATCTACTGTAGCTCTGGCACGGTGACAAAGTTGCAAAAAAGTGCCTTGAGGTTGGGTCATTCAAAGTGACCTGGTGACCTGACCTTAAAAGGTAGGAGGTTTAAACTTGCACACCATGTGTAAAATTGATGAGGTTTTAGTCATACCAAATTTCGCGGCGCTACGCGCCGCGGTTTTCCCGCTATTCGCGAAAAACCTCAGGGGGGGGGGCGGATATCCGCCCCCCCCGTCGGTGCGCGGGTTAAAGGGTGTCGATTCACACTACCCTGGTGTTTGAAGGGTGTCGATTCACACAATTCCCTGGTGTTTGCGAAGGGTATCGATTCACACTACCCTGGCCTGTCAGAAGGGTGTCGTTCACACTTCCCTGGTGTTTGAAGGGTGTCGATTCACACTGCCCTGGTGTTTGAAGGGTGTCGATTTACGCTGCCCTAGTGTATGAAGGGTGTCGTTTCACACTGTCCTGGTATCTGAAGGGTGTCGATTCACACTGCCCTGGTGTTGAAAGGCGTCGATTCACACTGCCCTGGTGTCTGAAGGGTGTCGATTCACACTGCCCTGGTGTTGAAGGGCGTCGATTCACACCGCCCTGGTGTTTGCGAAGGGTGTCGATTCACACTGCCTTGGTTTTTGAAGGGTGTCGATTCACACCATTCCTTGGTGTTTGCGAAGGGTGTCGATTCACACTGCACTGGTGTTTGAAGGGTGTCGATTCACACTGCCCTGGTGTTGGAAGGGCGTCGATTCTCACTGCCCTAGTGTTTGCGACCGGTGACGCTCGCTGGGTGAGCACTGCGCCTTGTGTGATGGGCTACCGGGCATTCAAATAGCATATTCTTTGCTCTCGAGAACTACCTTCTGGTAGCTTAACGAGGAGATCCTGAGTGTGCCAATCTCCTACCATTACCTATCGGTTCCAGTTGGGGCTTTTGGTGGCGGATGAGGAGCGCAACCGAAAAATGGGTGAGTACGGCCAATAACAGCCAAACTGGAATGGGTCGCAGCACGGGACACAGTAGCGACAGAGAGGAAACACTAATCGGTATTAGGGTCCCTTAATAAACTTTAGTGGCCCCTCTGGAGTGTGAAGACCAGCTGGGTCGGAGGTGGGTTGGGGGAGCGCCAGTCCGTGGGGAGGGGGCGAGGGCGGGGAGGGCGAGGGAGGAGATGAGAGGACAGACGTCAGTCAGCGAGAGGGGACGACGGTGACAACAGAGGCGGGCCGCGAGTGGCGCGTCTCCCACCCCCATCCCCAACGGCGCCACTGTCCTCAACTATTGTCTCCTCCGTCTCTTTCTCGTTTTTTTTTTACTTCTCTCCTTCTCTCGTCCCACTACCGACGTCATCTCACCCACGGCGGTGGCGGATGAGGAGCGCAACCGAAAAATGGGTGAGTACGGCCAATAACAGCCACGGGCATTTGGTTACTGACCGTGGTAAGTTCTGACTTTCTTCACTTAGCAGTTAGCTGGGACGGAATAGGTACCTCCCCTTTTTGCAAATGTTTTCGTTTTTCCGTTGAAAAGGCCAAGGTGTGGAAACATAAGTGGCCTAAAACCGGTGAGAAAACTAGATTTTAGGGGTATCCTAGGTTGATCTCTATTATGGTGCAGCCCCCCCCCCCCCCCCCCGTCTGGAAAAAGTTCCCGCGCCCGGCCCAGGGGCGGAGAATTGTCATAATCCCAGGGGGTGCTTTTCAGCACCTGCAGCGAATGAAAGCGTCGCGACCCTAAGCGTCAAACTTTTGCGTAGAAACGCAAAATAAGCACGCTTTCCCAACAGCATCACTCTTCTCGCGACTCACCCAAAGCAGTTTGTGTCTCAGGCAGGGTTACTTTTAAAGGGGGAAGAGGGGAATTTCCCCCCTTCGAAAATTCCGCTCCCCCTTTCAAATCGTGTCTGAACGGCTAGGGAGGGAAGGGGGAATTTCCCCCTTTCAAATTTATTTTGGAGCCCATTTTCAATCAATTCGCTATTCAGATTCTACAGGGTGATTTTTTTTAACTGTTAAAAAGTAAACGTCAATGGTGGTCCCTAAATCGAAAAATCTTGTGCAAAAAAGCAATGCACGTGATAGATAAATCTAGGACATTTTGTATGGTGTCATGATTTGTCCCTTTTAACCGAAGGCCTCGGCCCCAGTGGAGCCTGAAAATGTCCTACCAATCGGGCACGCATGGTCCACCGCCGTTCAGTAAGGAACGACACAAAACGATGATTTTGAAGCATTGAGGCAGTTCGAAGCATACGATCATCAAGGGGATACCTCAGAAAGACGTTAAATAATGCACGAACAAGCTTGTAGTCATAAATAACCTTCAAACGGTCCATCTGGCGTATGTGCATCCTCTGAAGAATCAGTCTTCAGGGAGAAACAAAAACAGCGAATCAGACACCACCAGGGCCGCCAGTAGCAAAATCCTCGACCTGCCCTTTCTAGACTTCTAGTTTTTGGACCCAGGTATGGCAGATATAACAAGAAAACATTGGAAATATCTGGCAGAGCTGAAAATGGGTGATAGGAACCTTTTCAGTCCGCCTAATGAGCATGGGAGTCCATGGTGCTGTTCAACACGTGCTCAGGCGGGCTGATTCGTGTCGGTGAGAGAGGGGGTAACTTCAAGCACAAGTAAAATACACGATGGACGTTCCTTCACATCGTGTCTGCATGAAATCAAAATGTCCCAGAATGCTCGTCATGCTGGTATATAATTTTACAGTATAGGTATATTTGCATTTTGACGCCACTAAACCTCATTACTTTTTAACAAGTAAAAAAAATCACCCTGTATAGTCATCGTTAATCAGATTCTCGTCATCAATCAACGTTGCTGGCGTTAAGATAATTATTAATTTTCAATTTTCGGTTCCATCCAACCATTTTACGTTCAGTGCAGCAGGAACTCCAGATTTGACCCGATACCGATCGGATAGTCGGTGGGACCGTCTCTTGTCTTGTCTCTTCCGTCTTTTCGCAATCACTGACATATCGGTACAGGCGTCGGCGTAGAAACCGGCGGGGGACGGGATTACCTCTCCAAACCAAGGGTGGATACAGGGGGAGGGGGGCAATGGGCCATGGCCCCTCCTTTGACGCAAAAAGAAGGTGACCCCCTTTTGGACCCCCTTTTATATTCTGTGTTCTTTCTCAGAAACGACCCATTTATTCACGATTATTTTCACTTTTTCATCGACGCCAAGGCCAGACATCTAAAATTTTTGTCCCAATATGACAATGGCCGTGTTTAACCATCCTCCAAACCGGAATCATTGAAGGAAAAACAACGTTATTTTTGTCCCATAGGCATCAAAGCTTTGAGTAATAAATGACTTTTCTCTTTATGCAGCATTCACGTTCATCTGCTTTGCATGCAGAGCAGCCCGAGCAGGGCGCAAAAAAAATGTACCTCATCACAGCCGGCTTTCCCAATGGAACTTTCACTGCTCACTAATACTAATAGTAATAATTCAAGTTTTGTGCTTCATTAGTTTTTGTTCGGATATCACTGCCCACCTTGTAGTTGTAGAGGTTGCAGTTTTGTAGCGCCGTCGTTTCTCTACATACACGACCACACAAAGAACTTTGGAATTGCTCGTTAACTGTAGCTTTTGTGAGCGTTTAAGAATTTCATGTTTTTTGCTCATTTTTGCTCGAACAGTTTGACATCAATTACTCCTGACCTAAGGTGACCTAAGACTTGAACTTTTGTGCGAAGGTTTCAAATTGATGCCCGGTAAGGTACTAAAAATTTGGCGGCGCTGCGCGCCGCCGTTTTTCGCTTTTCAAGAAAACCTACATGGGGGCCTAAATGACCTCCAATCAGGGCGCGGATTAACCTCTCTCTTTAGAAAGGCGTTACCTAATGTTTGGCCGGGGTATACCTACTAGTTATTGATACCACTGATAGGTTGATACTACTGATTGGCATTTGCAAGGGCGCAGTCAAGTTGGGACCTCCCCCGCCCCTTACAGCCAAGGTAGGTGCGTATATTTTTTAGCAAAATTATTTTTTGGCAACCTTCCAAAATAAAGTGGCTGAAAACCGAGGAAAGAATAGGATTTGGGGGTAGGTAAGGTTCTGCGGGCTCCATCCTAACGAAAAACCTAATGGTATTGCCGCCCACCCCCCTTTCAGATGCCCCTGGATCCGCCTTTGCCCCGAACTTTATTCCCCCTCTCAACTTTTCCTGTAAAAGTAACCCTGGTCTCAGGCGTAATTTAAACAACCACTGGAGCACTATCATATGGTGACCTTTGAATTTCAGGGGGTGCTCGAGCACCCCCAAAACCCCTAGTTCTCCACACGTACGTGCCCGCGCCACTGACATAGACGTCCGCCACCGACTTTGACTCTCCGACGGCGACGATTCGTGCCCCGCGACCACCGCGCCGGTGACAGAGCCACTGCATTGACCTGGCCGTGCCCGTCCAAATATTCGAAATATTCAGAACTTATGCTGATCTTATTTATTTGCACTGCACTGGATTTACTTGATTGCTTTCACCAACCATAACATAAAAAATTGATTCGGTCTGAGGTCAGAATGCATGTATTTTAATTTACTGGCCTCCAATACTGCTGCGCATGCGCGTTCGCACCAAGTTTGATGCCATCCGCGCCAATGGCGCCATTTGGCGCCATTTTTGCCGTTGCCGCCGCTTGATATCCGTGTGGAAGTGGAGAATGTTGGAGCTGTATTGGAGAATCGTATGATAAAATAAATTGTGGGATGTTATAAGGCCTTGGATAAAATGGAAGATATGCATGGTGCTCGCCCTGGCTTCGGAGGATCTGACTTTGGCAACCCAACTAGAGCGGGATTTTGGAGAGGACCGTGAGTAGAAATATTCAGACCCTAGAGCACACTGAATTACGTGATGTCGAAGCTCCTACAATGTTTTTTTTCGAATTTCCTCATCTATCTCGTCTGGTCTGTCATGTCCGTCGCTAGGCCAATTCCGCACCACACTTTACTAAATCTGCACCGCACCATGCCATGCCAATACCGCACCACACCACACCTAATCCGCACTACCCGAACAAGCCCGCACCGACGAAATGGTGAAATTGCCATTCTTTGCAGACTGGCTAGTGGAAAATGGAAGCCTTTTCTCTCCAATGAGTCAGAGACTCAAAGTGGACGCGGTACTGCAAGTACATTTTACATTTTACAGTACAGTACATTTACATTTTACCGCTTTCACCTGTAGTAGCGAGGGCTGTATTTATGCCTATATATGGTCAGCTAAAGTCTAGGTAAAAGTATATATTAACTTCACTCGGTCCTAATATATACTAATACTAAAGTCTATTTATTGACCGATCAATTTTTCGATCTTCGCTTCCTAGTTTCCCCAACTGAACTAGGTATGTATGTTCAAGTGTGCCCCTTTTTGGGAACACATTTTCGTTCCCATATTTGGGAATGAAAAACCTAAATGTGGGAATGCTATGTAGGCAGCATTTAACCTTCGCCCAGTGGGGGGCTGGTATATGTTATCACCCTGTCACGTTTTTTCATGTGTGAATAAAAAATGCGTGTAGCGCTGTCGCTGTGCCGCTTCAAGTAGCTTTCTGTACTTCAATTTTGGACAATGTGAAATTTTTGACCCCAGGTCATGTCAGGTCAGGTCACCAGATCAAGTTAACTGATAAGCCTACAAAAGTTTGCAATGATGTCCAGCCTGCAGTGTTTGTCAGAGGTTTTAAACTTGGTGGACTGCTATTGCATGATGTTATGGGCACCTATAATTTGTATATCTCAGATTTTTTATATCCGTGACCTAAGGTCAGGCCAGTGCCAGTGGTGTGACCTTTCCATTATAAGTCAATGGAGAAAAATGAAAATGCCTCTAGATCTGTGTGTAGGCATAGGAACAGTCCAAATATTTCAGAATCACAATGATTTGGACCACCCGTGACAACAAAGGTGTCTTTTTTTGCTGATAGCCTCTAGAAAGGTCATCCAAGGTCATTTGAGGCTACAAACAGATTTTTGCCAAACACTCTAGATTGGGAAGAGATATACCTAATGCTGGGGATGGCTTCATTGTGTTTGTCTTGTCGAGATGCATCAAATGATATGCAACATTGAACATGACCTATGTGTGTCACCACGTGACCTTGACCTGTGGTCAGAGTTTGACCTTGACCTTTCCAGGTAAAAAATATATTTTCCGAAGTGGCTGAAGGAGAGAAACACGATAGTGCCATTGCCAATTCTTCATCTTTGCTGGTTGAAAAATTATTCATGAAAAAAAGCTTTATCCAAAAACGGCTATCTTCAGAATGTTTGACCTATAGAGGCTTAACCCTTGACCTGAGGTTATTTTGATAAGGACCTTATCAAAAGAAGAGTTCAAAAGCTACCTATCGATTGCTTTTCCCAGGGGGCGGGAACTACTTTCCGACTGGGGGGGGGGGGGGCACACCATAATAGAGATTAACCCAGGGTACCCCCAAAATCTAGTTTTCTCACCGGTTTTAGGCCACTTATTTTTCACCCCTCGGCTTTTTCAACAAAAAAAGAAAACATTTGCAAAAAAGTGTGGTATTCCGTCTCAAAGCTGTGGGGGCACCGCCCCCACAGCCCCAAAGTTGGGGGGGGGGGGGGGCAAGCTGCCCCCACTGCCCCCCCCCCCCCGGCTCCCGCGCCTATGGCTTTTCCATACGTTTTTCTAGCTATCATAGTTCCTGAGATAACGGCATGCTTTCTGAAAAATATAATGACATTTGGCAAATTTTGAACTTTAATGACCTCTGGTGACCCCATATTGCTCTAACTAAGATGAAAAAGCTGAAATACTTTCAAACATACGCATTGAGAGCTATCGACTGCTTTTTACTAGGTACGTCTTTTTAGCCCTCTTAGTTTTTGAGTTAGAGGTGAGTGATAACATATGCCCCCCCCCCCCCGTACTATTGCGAAGTTGGCCGAGACCGTCACTGAGGCGCGGGTTAAAATAACCACTGAGGCGCGGGTTAAAATAAGAACCATTAAATGACGTCCAAGTCCAGGGATGCGGAGCCGTGGAAATTTCAGACGGCTCCGGCTCCGGCTCCGGCTCCGGAGAAAAAAATCGGCTCCGGCTCCGGCTCCGGCTCCGGGTGAAATGTTGTGGCGGCTCCGGCTCCGGCTCCGGCTCCGAGTAAAATGGTACGGCTCCGGCGGCTCCGGCTCCGGCGGCTCCGGCTCCGACTCAGTACATCCTCTATGCAATCAGTTAGATACGGGTGGAAGAAAAATGGGATTGGTTATACGCGTTACTCTTTGCCATGACCGGCTCACCGCAACCCCGCGCAAACGCACCTCGGAGAGAACTGGCAGAACAAAGGACTAGGAAGCGATGGCATTGGAAACGCAGTCGCCGCGAATTGGAGTTCACTGAACCATCGTAAGCTGACACCAGTCTCGGCTGCATTGGGGGGTGGGAGTGGGGGTGGGGGGTGGTGGGGGGGGGGGGGGGGAGGGGAAGAGACGGTGCTGGGAGTCGCAGTCCACTGCACTGGCTTGAAAACAATGGCCGTCACCTGATGACCGGTCCTCATGTTCTGGGCATGCAGTAGACGTGGGGGGGGGGGGGGGAGGAGCAGACAAGAAGTTGATTGCGTAATGCGTACTGTGGGATACTGGGGATATTCGGCTTTTTTCATTCACTTGATGGCCCATGACGTAAGTAAAGTACCATATGTTTTACTACCTTGTACTGTCAAACCGAACTAGGTCAATTATTTTTTTTTCCTCTTCAAAAAATAAAAAGGAGCCGGAGTCGCCCCCTTTTTTGGCGGCTCCGGCTCCGGCTCCGGCTCCGGGCTATATTGTTTCACGGCTCCGGCTCCGGCTCCGGCTCCGGGCAAAATATGCCGGCTCCGGCGGCTCCGGCTCCGACTCCGGCTCCGGCTCCGCATCCCTGGGAAATATAAAACGATCGTGAACCGCCTGATATTTGTCTCAATATTGTTGGGAAGGAGTTTGATATTGTAAACTGTAAAGCCCAGCGTGGTTTCAAATTGTTCCCCTTTTCCTAAAGCAGTCCACCGCCCGTGCCGCGTGCCCAAATTCGGGAACGCTTTCGTACACTGGCGCTGCCAGCGGTCCTCATTATGGGAACGGCGTACCCAAAATTGAGAACAATTTCACCGACGCCTTTCACGGCCTGCTTATTTTGTCATTAATATTTTGTTACGTGCATATATTATTTGATATGTTGGCGCATTAAATTGTACACAAAGAAGAGAGATGAAACTTTGCTTCATTTGTGTGCATGTTGACTTCTCAGAATTACAGGTACTATGATTCTGACTATTCTGGCCTATATAGGTATATCGCTACGACATTGGTTTTTAAATAAAAGGAGCATGTAACACATTTGTTACGAGATAAAACAAACACAAGAGAACCCACGCATGTGCCAGGTGCAGGAGAAATGTGCACTGCGCAGTATGGTAGTCAGTGCGAGCATGATTGCACACTTGTAGGTACGCTTACTACAATCTATGGGTGCTCAAAAGCCACAGATATTCACACGATCGTTGTAGGAACCTAATAGGGGAGGCCCGGGAGGTATGGGCCGGTTTTGTGAAAAGGCAACTTTCTTCCAGTGTGCAGTGGCTAGACCCCGGTTTTCACTCTGTGTACGTGAAATTGCCTTTCGCCTGCAAAGTGTGCCTGATATTAGGCATCTGGGCTCAACTATTTTGTCTCAAGATAACTTTCAATAAATCATGCGCTTTTTCGATCCATCAAAATACACCGGGAGGTATGAGCCATGGCCCGGGAGGTATGGGCCGGTGCCATGTTTCATATTCTTTTCTCGACAAGGAAAACAATACTCGCAGCTGGTATCTACCTTGATCTCTCTTAGAGCCCAGAAACCGCATAAGCGGCCAACAGCTTACTTCATGGAGGTCACTTGGGCACACATCTATTTTGGTAAACTCAATCATGTTCCATGAAATAAGATAAATAATATTTCTGTTCGAATGGAATGAATTTGTAGTTAAATTTTCGACCTTGCGCGACAAAACTAAAACTTATTGAAGAGGACATTCAATGAAAGCATCAGTTTATTGATTTAGGATCACCGGGGGTGGGTGGCCCGAACCTCCCGGTTAGGACGCCAGAATGTGCGTAGCATCTCAGCTAATAATCTTGCAAGATTGCTTCAAATTGTCTATCCAGTCTTAATTTGCATGCTTTACACTTTATGTTAGCGATGGTCTGACATCATAGAAGGAGCCTGTTTCAAATTTATCACGAATTTTCTGTATGTACCATATTTTACTCGAAGAGGGCAAAAACGCTTTATCATCGCTCATTGCCAAAGAAGACTGAGGAAGATTTTGAAAATCACTTGGTTTGTTTAACGGAATGACTGCTACCAGTTTACGCGGTCAAATGTGTAAAAATACGGAACACTTCTTCAAAACTGCGATGGCCCATACCTCCCGACTGGCCCATACCGAGTAGTAAAGTAATCTTGCCCATACCTCCCGGGTCTCCCCTACCTATCACCGGCAGCGCTCATTGTCCGCCGTGGTGTGCCGTTCACCGTTTACCACCCATGGCAAGATCAGGGTCATACGCCCTGCATAGTCGCGCTGCACATGATTATAGAAGCCAAGGCACATCACTGGAGTGATCTGCTCCATTTGTAGGGGCCGGGTTTGGTACCCGGCACCAGGCCCGTCTGAGGTGCGGCCCTGCCGCCGGCTGAGGCGGACCGTCACCTCACATTGCCCCAAAAGACGGTAAATAACTTTTGAAAATACCCCAGAACTAGTACATTAACCCTCGCCGGCCGAGAAGGGGTGGGGCGGGTGCCGCCTCATAGG